AGACAAAAAAAAAAAAAAAAAAAAAAAAAAAAGACAAACCAAAAAACCAAAACCAAAATGAAAGAAGACAATTTGTTGTTAAAATATAGAAAAAAAAAAGTCTGCAAAGCACTGAACCCTGCCTCTGTTTTATTTTTCCTCTCTTCTGTAAGGATTGGCAGAAGAGGCATTCCTACCAGTCTTCAAAATTATTTTCTGTTACTAAGCTCTCACATACACAGAGTTGGTTGTTTCAGACTACTGTAAGAAGTTCTTATGTCCACTTTTATATTGTCAGCCTCTCCAGAAACGAACTCTTTGGCATGACATCAATAAAGTATTATTATCATAGGAGTGAAAAATAACATATGAATGCACGCATACATTCAGGGTGCAGCCCAGTGCTTTGAGGATCTTTTATTTTAACAAGGGAAACTGGCTTATTTTTGACATGACAGGACCCCCTCTGAACCATAAAAAAAAAAGAGTAACTGATTTTCTGTAAATGTATCTATGCTTTCACTTATTGCTTGCTTTGAGGATTTTAAAATCTGCTTCTATTTGACAGAACAATTGGTTGGAATATGTAGGAAAAAGGCTTGTCAACATAATACAATTCAAAGGATGCTAGAGAAAACTTTTTTAAAAATTAACAAAAAAATACATTAGCATTCTTGCTGGTTCTATTCTTAAAACAATTCCACTCAATACCTAAACAGTGTTTACATGGGTCTTACATGGGTGTTTAAAAAAATTTCTTTTTATATAATATTTGGTCTATAATTTGTCTATGCACATTATTAACCAAAGTGAAACTCAAATTGGTATTCAACAATCAACACCACAAAGTCCACACTGTAATAACAAGAATGGAATAAGCAGCAAATCTATAAAACAACCCCGACAGTTATGCATAAGGGCTGCTGGACAATTAGTAACTTTCTGATTGAAAACAATTGACTCTTACACACCAGGAATCTGCTAAGCAAGGCTAGTAAAAAACCTGCATGTTCTAATTTTCAGATCCTCACAAACAACCTTCTCAATCCAGCTAATTTTGATTTCAGGAACTAAGGGTAGTGAGCTGATGTGGCTGAACTTCAAAATACATACATGTGATCTGTTGACACCTGATTGAGACTGTGGATGAGTTGTGAAACAAGATTTTCATCCCTGCATGCCAGAAGGCAGTTCACCTCTTCAGCTATCCGTCCATTGAAAAGTAGGCTTTTTGTTGTTGTAGCAGGTAAAGGTGATGGAAGAGGCAGCTGGTTCAAAACTGGTATCAGAAAACAGAAAGGAGTTCAGAATCACTTCATCAAACACAAGTGTACAAAGAAGGGCCCTTCTTACTCCCTCATGTAATTAAGAAAGCAAACTCATCAACTACATTTGAAACATAGGGAAGATTTCAATGGGTTTATTGTGTTTGTTTGTTTTTTTATCATGAACACACACATACATGTAAAGGCTGGATGCTGTTTTTAATTTAAAAATGCAGTGAAGTCCCTAAGTTTTATTACTATAGTATTGTAATTACTTAGCTGTGCTAAGACAAGTATTATGAATAAGAGCATACTTCTAAACATTCCAGAATATTAAGTTACTTGGTATGCTTTTTAATGTGTTATAGTTGCTGTCTCTAGCAGCCAAAAGCCTTGATAAAGGAAGGAAACAAAAAAAAATCCTTGTAGTTGCATGCAGAACGGTAATTGCATTGAACATATACTCTGACCTTTGTATAATTTGTGTTCCCACTTCGTATGGTCAGGGAAGATAAAAACAAAACAAAACAAAAAACAAACAAGAACAACAAAACATAAAAAACCCCATAAAAAACCCAACTCACCAAAAGAAAACCAAACACCCCAACAAATTTAAGCCACTAACTAAATTCTCAGTTTATTCTTCCCTTGTATTTATTTCTATCCACCCAAAAAAAGGCTAGTATTTTTGGTTAGTATGATCACTAAAATGTCAATTCAGTCAGCACAGCTATTCACAAATTTTGGTAAATAGATTTGATTAAAACATAGGGTTAATTAAAAAACAGGGTAGATTTAGGTTAAACATTAGGAAAAAATTCTTCAGTGTGAGGGTGGTGAGACACTGGCACATGCTGGGGCCCTGAACAACCTGGTCTAGTGGGAGGTGTTCCTGCTCATGGCAGGGGGTTTTGAACTAAATACTCTTTTATATTTTGAAATTCTTAATATTTTTTAAAAGAAAAAAAAATAAAAAGAAGGGGGGGAGGGGAAAGGAAAGAGGTGAAATTCTAGTCTTTTTCCACACTATAATGTATATCATTATGGTATTTAGAAATAAAGAGCAATTCAAACAGAACTACATAATACATTAAAATAGCTTTCATTACTTGCATCTGATTACCTTGAATGTGCCAGAAACTCAGAAAAATTAGCAAGATCAATTATGACTTCAGCTAGTTAACTAGCTGACTCTACTGTCTCTACTTATCATGCCCCCCATATTTCTAGAGAAAAAAGTCTTGCCAACTCCAGCTCCTTCTTCTCACACAGAGAAAAATAAGGTGAGGCAGTTATAAGCCTCTTTCAGTTGCTTCTGAGTTTCCAAATATGAAATACATACCATATATAAAGGAGGAAATGCACCTAACACAAGGACTAATCCCACCAAAGGTAGTTCATCGTGTCAATAAACTTTCGCATCAGCAGTCTGGCCAGTGACTTCTACCAGTCTCACATTTTGATTTTCTGTAGAACCTTAGGTGCAAAACCTTAACGCTGGAAAATTGCCCATAGCCTGGAAACTTAGGATTTGCACCCTGATGGTCCACTATTAGACATACATAACGATACATATATACACATGTAAATTCATAACTGTATCTTTCAATTTTATGTTTTTCCTTGAATATATCTTTTTTTTTTTTTTTTTTTTACTGTAGGCATTTAAATTCAACTGCTGAGATACCTTCAGTGTCTCTTGAAAGCGTCCACATAATAAAAGCGTCCAATAATAAAAACAAGAGCTCAGAAGAAGCACCTGGGTCACTGAGTCTAATTATCCTCAGACAGACAACCGAGCAACAAACTCTTTTCTTACACTTCATAAACAAGATGCATCTTTGTCCCAAGTGTTCTTATTGCAATGGTTTTTCTAGGACCTCATTATTGTAATGAGACATCCCCTCTTAAGTTTTCACGAGGAACTTATTTTTGGTCACATTATAACAGTTATCAGCTTTTACTGTAAATAGTTCTTTTCTTTTCCTTGCACTTTGTCTTCTTGATGTATTTAAGAACAGTATATACACCTCATCCACTCCTTTTGTAGGCTGAACAGATAAGAAGATGACTCATAGGTTCAGCTGCTTATTTCCATTCAAGAAGTCATTCCTTAAACCTTAAAATTAGAGCAACTTTTTTGTACCTTGTCCAGAACAAGCACCCTCCTTTTCCCCCTCTCAGGAAGATGAGGAGATGTATGTTTTACAGAAGTATTTTATAATTTATATTTTTTTCTGCATTTGTGGGGTACCCAGATATGCTACCAAATTATTTTTCTAACAAACAATATCTGTATTTTGTTTCAGGTTTTCTCAAGGGCTTTTAAATCTACATTTAATTTAATTTCATGTTTAAATTAACGTGTTTTATTTTAATAGATTTTTAAAATTCAAGTAATGGATGACAAAATTAATAAGAACCTTGAAGAACTTTAAAAAAACCCCACTATTTTAAGTATTTTGAAATGCATGTATTTACTGAAGAGAGAGAAAACAACATAGCAAAGACAAGAAAAAGATGAGTACTTACGGTCTGTAAGACTAGCAATCCCTGCAAGAGTAGTGATGGGAACATGAGGCATATCCCCATTCATCCTGAAATTCTGGGACAGTAGTGCCTTCACAGATATTTCAGTTCAGGTGCCAGCTATCATTACTTCCCATCTCCCAAGCACTAAAAAAAACCCAACAAAACAAAATTAAAATTCTCAGTTTACTTTTTTAAATTTTTAATTTCAGTAACACAAAGGAAACACAGGCCATACCCTCAGCTGCACAATAAGTAAATTTTGTCAAGAGTGGGTAGAACAATGTAGAGTTTACATATCAAATGGTATTAAGCAATCAAAAGGCAAGCTTTAGGTCTCCAAAGCGGAGCCCTTCACCAAAAAAAGGTGCATCATAAGACAATAAAAGGAAAGTTGCTTAGGCTATACAGTACCAACTCAAAAATTGGTAAAGAAACTTCTGTCAGTTCCTACTGCAATGGATAGCACTTAATGCACAAGTTTAATTATTACCTGCTATATTCACTTCCTAATGTTATAGAAGGAGACTTTTTCAAGTAAGACAAGGCTAGCAAAAACAAAAGGACTAATTTACAGATGCAAAAATGAAGGAATAAACAAAGTAAAAAATACAAAATATTAGTATATTTTAAAAGGAGCAGCTATTTCAAAATTGATCTGAAAATATCTATTCAGTATTAAACACTCTCTGGTCAAACTACTAACAGGAATTGTACCACCCACTCCACAAAAAAAAAGGTTTGGTCACCACTGAACTGACTTGTTTACTTCCTATAACACAGCACAGTTTATATTCAAGTACCGAATAAAAAGGAATTTGTTTACTGAGTTTTCACTAACTGTAAAGATCCCAAGTGCAATGAAGTCTACACTTAAAAAAAAAGCAACAGAAAAAAAACTTACAAACAGTCATCACAATAGTTTCAGCTGCAGCTCCAAAACAAAAAATTTGCTAAGATCACACGTCACAATCCACTATTATACTGATGAAATTACAAAAATTGAACATTATGTTTTCTGAAGACAATCCAAAACAATTAAAGGAACCAATTTTTAAATATATGTATTTATATGTTACAGACAGGCATGGGTGTTCACAGTTTAAGATAAGTAAAAAGATCTCTTCTGTAAGCATTTATGTTATCAACTGAAGACACTGAAATAATTACTTGTTTACACTTACTTTACATGCCAACATTTTTGAGAATTACATACGTAATACAAACCAAAAGATCCCTGTTACTTCCTTAGTAATTTTTATCTCATTCTTTCTTATGCCACAACAATGGCAATATACAGGACATCTGCAAGTAAATACATATAGACTCCAAGCAAGACAAGGAAACCCAATGTTATGAGTCTTCTTCCTGGTCCAGGTTTTCATGAACAACTCAATTTAGCTTTTCAAAGCTTATCTATCTACACATAACCAAATTAACTGAAAAAATACCAACACTGAGGTTAAACAAAACTGACAGTGAGTTTATTTCCTTTGCTGCACCTGCCACAGTCTCAATCTCACCAGTAAATGACATTTGTTTATTGAAAGTATAGTACATTACACTTACAGAAATCTAGTTAAGGAAACTGCTACAGATAGGTACATGGAGTGGATTGTAGTGTTTAGGTTTTTTTAATCCAGTAGAAAACAGCCTTCAAACACCCAAAGCAGTTGCAAATATACTCACTACTTGAGGTTCTTCACGTGAAAGAAATACCAATATGCACAAAATTTCAGTGGTTTCTTAGTTCCATAAATAGGAATTCTTAATATAACAACAAAACAAAACTGCAAACCAAAAACTTAATTTCTTCCCACAATAGATCCACAACAGCAAACCCACATGAGTAAACACTCTCAGAATTTGTTTTCAGTGAAAGTTTACTAATCAAACAAATCGAATAACACCTTTTAGAAATAAATTATATGTGCAATAAAAAGGTAATGTCTGATGATCTCTCCTTTCCCAAATGAAACTGCATTAAAGCTGACCAAGGCCATGTTGATAGTCACTATTATTGGAAATTCTGCATGTACACAGAAACAATAAAAAAAAAACAGAAAAAATATGTAAAACAATCTGTCCACTTTCCCTGTAAACATTAAGCTGTAAACATCAAAGGCAATTACTACTATAGCAAGCTCTTTCCTGCTATTATGGACACAATAATTAGATGACACATATTCCATAGGAAAAATTTATTCAAAACTAGACCCACACTCAAATTGAAAACCCTCTCCACAGATACATTATAAGAAACCACAACTGGCAAGATCCAGGCCTGAAAGTGCGTTACAATCGTCAGGGGAAATGTAAACATTTTTTGTAAGAGGAAAGTAGAAGGGATTGGTTTGTTTAGCTAACAAAACAAAGGTCAAGGGAGGATGTGGCTACTCTCTAAGGCAGTCCAAGAAGATTACAAAGGAAGAATGTTACAGGGCAATGCTAAAGCAACAACAAATGTCATGAATGCAAGCAAGAAGAAAATCAGAACAGAGCTTCTCACCAACAGAGCTGCCACCTTCTGGATCAACATTTCATTAGAAGTAGTAGCAGATATAAGCAACACAATTACTTTAAAGATGGAACATACAGATGTTAGAGAAGGGACAGGATGTGGTTGCTTGCACCAACTAGGAGCCAAGCATGGCAATTTGTCAAGTCTGTCTCTCACACTGCAAAGTTTTTTTTAAGCATGATGATGCAAGTAAACAAACAAGAATAAACAAAAGACAAAGAGACTGATGGGCTTAAGTGATGGAATTAGTTCATATGACAAACACAGTATGAAGATAACACTAATATATATATGGGTC